TATATATATATATATATATATATATATATATATATATATATATATATATATATATATACTCTACTATATTTTCATATATACTCTACTATATATATATATTTTTTTACTTGAATCTTTTCAAGTTGAAAACAGACTAACACCTTAAAATACAAAACGAGTTATGCTTTAAGAACTATACAATGTGTTTTCACCTATGCCACCTAGTATTTCACCTATATTACCTGGTGTTCATCGAAGATTATAGGTTCTCTATCTGAGTCATGCTTTCCAGCTATCTCTCACTGCAGGCTGCAGCTTTTTCTGTAGGTGCTACAAGAGGGAAAGCTGATTCTCAGTAATGCTGTACGATCTATTGGCTGAGGTGATCTTCAAACACCTTAGATCTTTTACATTGCAGCTGGTGGTTAGATTTATCCCAATATAAACCCATTATCAGAGCTGAAATATTACATTACACTCTCCAAAAAGAAAAGTGAACCCTTGATAATCCACAGAGGGTCCATCTTAGGTATTCTATTAATAGCTTTCAGAATGGGGATCAATGGTTCGTTTCATATGTAAGGCTCTCCTTCTTCTTTAGCCTCTAAATCCTACAGTCACTGCTAGTTTTTTCAGTTCGGCTTTTTATGTACATTTTCAGACCATTTGATGTTGGCTCCCATGCTCGGCTGGGGTGTTGACATCTAGTAAGCTGTTAATCCATGTGTGGTGCACCTGAGTAGAATATATTAGGCACACCTGAGACTGTTTGACATTTACAGTAATGGGAAAAGAAATCTTCTATGTCTGCCAACTTGGAAAAAACTCCCTACAACAATATAAAATGTCCGCCTCATATAACTGTAGGAAAATTAGCAACCAAACTATGCTAATCAAATAAACTTTGAATTAATCAAGAGAGGCGAACACCTCTGTAACAGCTTTTATTTGGTTTGCTTTGTTTTAGATCATTGAGTTATCTGTTAGAGCTATGCTAAGCAGGAACTACATAAACAATGACCATATATGCAGCAGGGATTGTATTTTCACAGAGTTTGAAACCTACTATATTGAGACTGTAGTGAGATTAGTTATTGAGATGGAATAAACTGTGAAGTTTCAGTGGTAGATTAGTTGAAAATAGAAAGCTTTTATATATTATGCCATAGAAAAGCACACAATACATATTAGGATATTCTGTTTACATCAGGTGTTAGTGTGGGCAGTGGTGGAGGGATAATGATTCGGGGTTGTGTTGCAATTGTGTTGCAGCCAAAACCAAAGTATTCTGCAGTAAATTAGAGGCCATCTGAATGACAAATGAAGCTTGGGGCAAAGACTCCTAGCACATCAGTTACTCTATAACATAAGAAAATCAAAACAAGGTGCCACAAACCCCCAGAAGCCGAAGCAACGTTGTAAATAATTACAGACCAAGGTCCCCCCTCTACATTGTGAGATTATTTTTCTCATAAGACACCTATCTTTCATTAGAGCTTTTGAGGACCAGAAATCCTTTTAGTAATTCTCTAAGAAGCTCAAGGTGCCGATTCATTTCGAAAATGAAAAGGTAAAGAAATTATTTACTATGTGCTTATTTCCTTTTTTCAAAAGATAAACAAAAAGGGATACTTCCTCTTTAAACATGGATATTGAAAGCTTTATAGATGGCATAGATAAACTTCCTCTCTGAAGGACAGATGAGCAACATAAAGCTTCTGAAAAGCAATTAACCATAAAACCTATAGTTTTTGCAGATTTTTTGAATAATAAACTTCTATGAGATTTTTGCCATTAGTGACAGAACAGGCTTAATCTTTTCTTGCGATTAAAAAGCAGCCTTCAGCTCTATTCATAGAGAGTTCTCCATTTTTAATCCTTTATAGGTCAAGTTAGCATTTTTGATCACTAGCGTACCCCTTACAAATGGAGCCCCCCTCAGTGAGGCCTAGAAGCACAAGATCTACAGTATATCCAGCGATTCAGCAAAGATGCTGCTACATGGCTGTACATCTTATTTTGGCATTTGACCAATTAGATGAGCCCTTGAATGATATATTACCTACTGTAATTTAAGTTGGGGGGAAAAAAAGTTAACAAGTCAAAAAAAAAAAAGGTAAAAACCTAATTGAAAAGTTATTAAGTTAACAATTGTGTACAAACTGAAAAATCTAAGTGCCAGTATCAGAATCAATGCCTCTAAGGTTATGTTGTACCAAAAAAATGTGTTTCTTTCACTCTGAGTGTTTTTCATGAATAATTAGTATTTTTCATGAATTATTAGTATTAGTCTTATAGAAGCACTTTGTTATTTTTCTTGATATATTCGGGCAAGTTGGCGTTTCTTGGTATTACATTGACATAGATTTTTGTCATCAAAATATCCATTTTTTTTTATGTTACAAAGATAACAAGGTCTTGTCCTGGATTCCAATAAAACTATTGGCTTGAAATTTTGATTTTCAAAGTATTTCACTGAGTGCCGTATAAAGGGTAATGCCAGTTAATTTTTTGTTGCAATTATTTATTTTTGTATAAAGATAATGTGACATAAACATTTTTAGAATAATGGGTTTTACTCCGTCTACAGAAAAATGGCCATAAGGAGGACATCCTTTGCGTAGTGCAGTGTCCTCCCTCTTTTTTGGTCACTGGCAGCAAGAACGGAGAAATCATAGTGTGGAACACAGCTTCTGGATCTATACAATGTCGGTTTCTTGGACCTCCTGGAGCTAAAGATCTAAACACTGAAGGTGATATAGCTATACATATATTGATTGATTGATTGATTGATTGATTGATTGATTGATTGATTGATTGATTGATTGATTGATTGATTGATATAAATACTGGTATAAAATTTATACATCTTTTCTTTTCATAATAGGACTGGACACAAGTGTCCCAAGCATGTTTGTTATCAAGAATCTAAAGCTGCTGCAGCTTTCTCCATTTACTGCTCTTCTGTCACCTGGAGTCAGAGGTTAGCTTTTCAGAACACTGATAATTGTGAATTATTACATTTTACAACCTTTATTTATTTCACAGCAGCATTATTTATTCATTTTGTGTTTTCAAAGGTTGGGTAAATCTCTGGGATGTGTTTGAACAAAAGCTTGTGAGCAGCTTTGAAGTTGTGAGTCATTTTATATTTATCTTCCTTTTTTCATTTACATCATTTTCTTTCTGTTTGGCTAACAAGTGATATAATTTTTCTATTGTGTCCTAAATGAGCGAAAACAGAAATGAGCTAATCCATAATATGCCACTGTGCTTGGCATTAATTGTTGTTGATATACAGTACAGTATATACTCTGCAGGTGAACAATGTAGATATTGCACTCTACTTTGTTTCTGTGAGAATGGTGAACATGAAAACTTATATGAGATTTTCAATTGATAGAAGAAACATTGTAAAAATGTGGAATATTAAAACTGTTACTCCACTCCTCAGAGACCCACCAACTGTGGCTAAAAGTTGAAACATTTCACAGAAACTTGTGAAATGTCACGCTTTATCAGGATTGGATAACAATCATTACACCTTTTTCAGATTTAAAACTGGTTACTCCGAAATTAACTCTGATAAATGCATATGGGAATGTGTGTTTCATAAAGCGTAACTAAAATAATACCCTCCTTTCCACTAAAACATTCAAGACCCAAAGCCTAAAAGAAATTCCTGGGGATATTGACAGCCTACTGTTCCCATCGCTCTGAAAGGCCCAGAACATTAATTCAAAGGAATCATAACATGATATTTAACTCAAACCATCGGCTGAAATGTACTTTAAATTTATTTGAAACATATTTGGAAATAATTAAATAAATCCAATTTTAATACCGCTTTTTTCTGTTTCAAAAGGTATGAAAATGGGATTTATTTATTTATTTCCAGGCAAGAGAACTTGACTTGTACTTATGCAATTTTATGTGGATTGAGTTTACCAACGTTCCCAGTGTAATAAAAATCTAGACAAAAAGTTACACTTGCAACAACATTTGCTGAATGTCTACAGATTGAATCCCCGATTTTTGGAAAGCATCTGAACAGAGATAATTCACTTACAAATACTGCTAAAAATTAAATAGCAAATTTGGTTTTCTTTTATTGTCATAAAGTAAGGTACATCTCATATATCTACAGCACAAAGCGAAAAAAAAATGTCAAATTTGTATATATAAAGGCCAGTCAGAAGTTTCAGGGAATTGATGCCTTTACTATCTAATTATAAACAAATCAATCTATTTTATTGTTTAAAAATGTCTTAAAACCTCTTTGCTGATCAATTAGCTATAGTTATAAAAACAGGATGTGTACACTTGAATTCACTACAGCCACTATTGGTGAAACAAAGCACTGTAGTATATATAAAATATATGTCATTATGAATACAACCCTTCTGCAATCCTGGGGAATGTTCTGTGAGCCCTAACTTTGGCACGGGCCCAAAGCAGTGGGACAATAAAGCCCAGGAAAGATAAATTACCCAGGTAAATGTGTACTGAAATGCTACCCTAGCTTTGAAAATATCCGGACTTATGAAAAGCAATGGAAACAGAGCTATAGAAGAAGCCTCTAATCTTATATACTGTAACATTGTTTGTCACAGATCTGGTTGTTTCACACCTTTTCAATGATTTCAGTGACTAAAATTACAAGCACATTTTGGCAAGTACCGGTAACACCCTTTTCTACTACCATTTACTGATTTATAAACATCATCACATATCTGCCTTACTTAAAAAAAGAAATTTATGAGTCTTTATTGTTGTTATGTAATAAAAATGTAATAACATCACAATGCATATATAGTACAAAAACAAGAATTGAAAACATTTATCCAAAAACGAAAAGTGAGCAGCTTACTTAGAGACCCTGATAAATGTTAAAAGAACCCATTTGAAGAAATACCACTAACTATTAAATATTTAAACAACCTTATTCACCTTTTCAGAAAACATTCAACTTAAAAATGCAGCATGAAGCATTTACATGAAGTGCAGCTGTGCTCAGCCTATGAAATGCACTGAATTTGTGATTTGTTTATTTTTCAGCAGTGATATATGTGTGTGTGTATGTGATCTTGTTGTGACTGAGTCTGTGCGTGAGCGTCTGTGTGATGGTGAAATGGATTGTGAGTGTCTCGCTGCAGGGGGAAGATTGCATTCATGGCTTTGAAAAAGAACCTGTACCCTAATCCTTTTCCTGATAGTAGTGGGACAAACAGTCCATCTCCTCTTGTCTTTTCCATTTTGAAGGATGGAAAAGAGAAATCAGACATTTAAATTGGAATAAAAAAACAAGTATGAATTCTAAAACAAATATTCAGTTCCACTTGCTTTCTTAGAAAAAACAATTGATTCTACTGATCGTTTTCTTTAAAAATGTATTATTAATGTGTAATTTTTGGAAATCTTTTTTAGTTTCAGAGTAAGATTATCCTATTGCAACCCAATTTCAAGTCAAGACCAGTGGCTTTAATTAGTTTGAAGTGAGTTAATGACGTTGAATGTCCAATTCTTACGTTCTTCCATTTTCAGGCTTGGCAAGGAGAGATGGCCTTTTTGATAAGTCCTTATAACACCCAGAGTAAAACATTAAGTCCTGTCAAGGAAAAAAAATAAGGATTAGATATAGAAAGATTGATTTATTTGTATTTATGTTTTAAACCTTCAGCCATTATGTGTGACACCAGATGTTTTCTTGAAAATTCTGTTGATTTGAGATCATGTTTGTACCACAGTCCAAATTTCAGCAAAAGATAACAAAACTGGCCACCACTGATGAAAAGACACTACTATATGCTGCTGACAGGATTGGTTACATCTATATTCACAACATGGAGGCTTTTGACGCAGAGCAGAATTCACCCACAGGTTAGAATCCCTCGTCTCTCACCTTTGACTTTATCTCTTTTCATCAGAAAATATTCTCAGATTTTTTGTCTCTCTCTTGTTTTTATAAAACAAATCTCTTAGCTGAACATTTTTGGCGTGCTCATACTGGCACAATTACCAGGTATGTACGATCCGTACGTACACATTGTACCCATGAATCTCCCACAGCTTTATCTTGTGAAACTAATACATGTCAGTTGACTGGTTCAGTAACAGTCAGCTAGTTTCTATACCTACCACTTTTATCTAATTCACTCATATGGAGCCAATCTTTTCCAATGTAAGGTGTCGGTTGCACCAGCAATGCCATGATGTTGCTCTGCAGCTGTAGGTACGGTGTAGAACTGTGTGTGAAACGAGACAAGCAGGCCCTGGCACTGCTATTAAATACTAACTGGAATCTTTAAGTTTTGCACTTTGTGTTGAATTCTTTCTATGGATGATCACAAGAGAATATCTTGCTTGCAGTTTCATTATATTTTCTTCTTTTGTACCTGGTTCAGCTTGCAGATTGTTACCAGTGATCGAATGGTGCTTACCTCATCCACTGACCAAACTGTAAGGCTGTGGAGCTCACAAGGAGAGTTCATTGGTGGGTGTCAACAGTTGCAGTTGAGCCACTTATTCTGTTTAACATACCATACCATAAAATACCATTCTATACCATACCATACCATACAATACAAAAATAATTTTAAAAGCATGATTGACACCCAACAGGACCAAAGTGCTATGCACAATCTTAAAATACAAATAATTAATCACAAAAAACAATAAATAAATTGGTATGTAAAAGTATTAATAACATAAAAAGCAATAATAAATAAAAATAAAAGAAACACAGTAAGACAAAGTCAGCATATCAGATTGTGTTAAAAGCCAAGTGAAAGAAATGGGTCTTAAGAAGAGATTTAAAATCAGAAAGTGAAGAGGCCTGTCTAACGGCCAAGGGAAGGTCATTCCACAGCTTAGGGGCTGCAACAGAAAAAGCACGGTCACCTCTGAGCTTGTGTTTTGTCTTTGGCACCCTCAGACATAAAAAAGACTGCTAAGCTAAACACTTGGTTATTTTAGGTGAACTATTCACAGTACCGGTCACCAAGGTCGGAGCTAGACGAGGGTTAAGGGGTGGCATCAGTAATTCATTTCCTGTTAAAATATTCCTACCCTGACACTTTTCTACATTTTGTTATTTAATAGCCACACATAATTGCATTATTTTGAAATTTTAAGTGTGGTTTATTTATAAAGTTTATTATATTTTCAAAACCTTTGCAATGCAAACTTCTTAACACACATGTACTCCTATTTAGTTATCTTTGTAGCCTGATAAACCAGACTAAATGTGAGCTTAAATGTGTAATTTAGTCTGGCCCAGATGAATGAGACATCGGAAGATTGTTGATGAGAACAACCAGTTGTTTTTTAAACCATGTCAGAGCCTATTGGCCAACGCTATGACCAATGAGCGCGATAGGAAGCTGATGGGGTCGTGTAAAAAAACAGCATGTGAAACGGCTGTAGGTAAATCGGCGAATATGTCCTTCTTAAAAATGAATGAGCGTAGAGCCTCTTTCTGCTCATGTTTCACATAAAACCCCAAGTCTAATGATTCCAAAACTAACTCCAAAGCTGAATCAAACAAGAACTGTTTAATAGTTGCTGCCATCTTCCTTGTTGTGCTTTCTCCAGTGTTGCGCAGCTTTGTTGTCATGCCCTCAAAACCCCGTCTGCTTTACATCCAAAGATTCAACGCACATCTCTGCGTTGTGATTGGCCAGTTCTAGGGCCTGGGGCATTGATCGAGAGTAGACCAAACACGCAGGCAAAAAGGATTTTGGCCTCTGGCGGGTGGGGCTAGTCTACTAGGCTATTCTTTTAGAGCTTATTCACTAGAAGATATCATACTGGAAATGGTGGTGATTTCATCACGCTAAGGGGATGCTTTGCTCAGCAGATACAGCAAACCTGGTCAGGGTTCTTTGGAAACTGAATATTGGAGCTAAACACAAGGCAGTCCTACATGAGAACCTGGTAAAGCCACAACAGACTTGAGAACAGAACAGTCAGGATTGGCTTGCCTTACATCAGGACATCTGTATATAGAGAGAAAGAGGCCAAACTAAATAGTATAGGTCAGAACAATATCATGAGTTACAATAGCCCTGCCAATGTTCAGACCTTAATCCAATTCAAAAATTGGTGTAAAACTTGAAAACATATGTTCATATACCTCGACTTTTAATCTGAGTTTAAATTGTTGTAACAAAAACAAATTGGCTCTAATTTCAGAAACATCCCCCAAGAGACATTGTGCTGTAATTCAGTAAAAGCTCTGTGAATTTATTTTTTAAAGTGAGTTTAAAAACTTCTGAAAGTTAAACCCCGTTAAAAAGATGACAGTTTATTATGCGTGGTGCAATCCAACCATTCCTCTATAAAACATCAATCTACTGATTTTGTGTAATAACTGGACAAATTCAGATATTGGGCAATAAAAAAATATCATATCCTTTACATGAAAGCACATTGCAGGGGAAAAAAATCTCTTGGGATACAGAAATATCACATTTTAATAACCTGCTGTTTTATAGTCACATTTTTCAGCACCATTAAATACAATTTGTTAGAACATACATTAAAATGTAATTTTCCATCTGCAGGGACATTTGGTCAGCCTGAAATGTGGAGTGTCCAGATTCCCTCATCCTGGATTCATCCTGGTGTCCCCGATGAGGTTCTGATTGATCCTCTCACTATGCCAAATCATGATATTCTGAAGAGAGAATCACATCTCTCTGAAGCAATCAATTCTGACGTGACTGAGACTGATAAAGGGGAACTAAAGGTAAGCTGCAATATTTCAAAAATGATTACCCGAGCTCTTCCTCTTTCTGACTCTTTTTACTGTCACGCTGAACCAATGATCCTTTGAATTTCATCAGTTACACTGACAATGAGGGAGATTTAGGAGCACGTTTGCCCAGAGGAATAGGAGTCTGGGCTGGAATTCAACCATTTCAGCAGAACAGACCACTGCACATGTTTATTGCCAGTTTAACAGCTGACTCGATCCTAAAGCACAGATTGACATTTGTAAGGACTTTGTCTTCTGCTGTATTTCAGACTCTATGATGAAATTGAATGGAATACTGACATATCATCAAACAACTTTTCCCCAAATGGCTTCAGGACATTGGAGCAACTGAATGCCTGTGCACCACCTTAACTCTCTCTGAGTATTGATCCTTTCATCAGCCACACAGGGGAACTGAAATTAACCGATAGATGAAACTGTATTGATCAGCACTAAGAAAGAAGGTCATTGCATTGGTATGATTCAATTTATGTTATGTAGTTTAATACTGCTAGAAAACAAATCTACCAAGTGAAAGGTTTTTGCTGGGAAATTATTATCATTATATATTTTTTAACAGTGTCCTGTCTGGCAATGTGGCAATAAAAATAATTGTCTTGATGCCAAAAATAGGCCCAACAGATTTAGCTTTCACAGGTGGAGCAGTATGGCTATTGCTATAGTGTTCCGCTTGATTCATGCATGTAAACAGCTTTATTATAATTATGCAGGGAGCATTGCAGATCATATGGACACTGCAATGTAAGTAGAACAGAAAAGGGAAAACAGGAAAAAGGAGAAAAGATGAAAGAAAGAGGAGATAAAAGGGAGACAACGATAAAACGTCTTCTGTGTGCTTCATCACCTGCAAAGAGAGATGTAAAAAGAACAGCACAACCAACGGATATAGTATAAGAGATACAAAAAAGTGGTACCTTGATATTATTGCTGATGTGTAAGTAGTACTATTTAATCTGACATGTACTATACTGTGGTAGCCAAAGATAAGAATATTGGCTTTCTGTATGGAAATGAATCTCTGAGTAATTTGAAACAAGCACCTGTTGTTTGTGAGAGTGCACTTGTGCATGTAAAGTTTATCTAAAGGAAAAATGCTCAATAGTGGTTGTGAAGAGCCAAAGACCCACCCCCCCAGAGCACCAAGGCAAGCGCCGGGGGACCTAAAACCCCAGATGCACAAAGGGATCCCCAAAGCAAAGGCACCTAGGAGAGGCAGACCCAGGAAATCTGCCCCCCCACCAAGGGAAGAGGAGAGACCTGAGGAAATCCCCCAGCAGCCGCAATGCCAGGGTCCCCAGGAGCTGCAGGGACGAGTCCGCGCGCTCAGCCGACAGCCAGCCACGTCGAAGTGGAACCGACCATGTGCACAGGGGGGTTAGGGTTAGGGGGGCTCCGCACTTAGCCGAGACTTGAGATGTTCTTGGGAGAGGCAGCAGTTCAGACCCGAACCTGACTGCAGCCTACAAGAGGAGAACTACAAAAAAAAAAACATACACAAATGTTGAAAACGTATGAAGCTCTGTTATGAAACCCAGGTCATGTAAAGATGTTGACATTTGCATGTGTATGCACAAAACTAATGTATTTTAGTTCAATTCTGTGAGGTGGGCTGTACTAATACCGTCCGTCAAAGGATTGTAGGCAACCATATACTGTAGTTTGTCAGGAGGTCCCTATGCTAACTGCATTAGAGCCAGGAAGCATACTGCGTCCTTGCTTGTTCCTAGCAGCCAGTACTATGAAGATATTGCATCATGGAAACTGTGGACGCACTTGGCTTTGAGGTGCTTAATAAATTTTGGGTATTTGGATTGAGCCCCATGGTTCCACACCTGACTTAAATTAATTTGTGATTAACGGGCCTCTGCACCCTTGGGGGCTGCTGAGGAGGGAATGAAATCATTTAATATGGGTGTGTCGTGGGTACTGAGGTCTACGTTTGAAAATTAGTGAGAATGAGTATTTTCAGGGAACAATCTCATGTGGTTGACTAAAGATTTGACATTGGGAATTTTCTTTTCTTATATAAAACACATGCTTAGGTCAAGGTCAGCTTTGTGACCTTTTAACATAGTTACAATAATTTCAATGTAAAGGACTCCACCGTATAAGGAACGTTTTATATATATTTTTCAATTGCTTTCTAAATGTGTGAGCATCGAGTTATATGAATACTTATGCAAGATGTTTTAATGATAATATGTATATGGAGTCCTAATTGCTCTGATATAGAAGCATAAAAATGATTTTTAATGCAAGAATGTAATATATTTTATTGGCAGTTTATGCATTATTACTTGTTTTCAATGAAGGGGATCTTGCATGAAATTTATAATTAATAAATTCCTGAATTATTCGAGAATTGTCAGCCTTTTAATTCATGAATAAAACATTATACTTCTATTTGACTCCCTTTTGTCTAGGTCTTTAGGGGTATTTTTGCAGCTTCGGTGACAGTAAGAATGCTATTAAAAGAGTTTGAAACTCATCACAAGATTTAACCATGCAGAAGGAAACATAGGCCTAAACATGTCAGTGGTTAATAATCATAATTCTATGAGGATGTAATGGTAACAAGCATACACTGTAGGTGTCATACTTGTAAAGGCAAAAACAAGAAAATGTTATTGAATAAAAATGCAGCTAGCGAGCTATAGTGTATAGTGTTTGGACATAACTGGATTTTGTACAGTCCATCAAGTAAATTGTCAGCATGGTTTTACTTTTTGCTGGTCGACTGTTCATCCCAACAATATCCGTCGAGATCCTGAAACCTGCAATTTATCATTTCCTGCCCACCCACACAAACTAAAGGATGCACACACCTGAACTCCCTTCATCAATCTCTTATACGAGCAGTATGCAGGGTGTGCAACTTCATGAATCAAAACATTAATTACTCGAAGAGAGCTTCTACATATCTTATTAGTTTTTTTGATTACAGTACAACAACTATTAGCACTTTGCTGTACTCAAAAACATAATTACTCTTCACTCTTATATTTCAGTCTGCATGGGGAGTGAATTATTCAGGGATTCTCAGTAAATACCAGCATCTGAGGGAAGAAGAGAAAGGTCATCTTGAAATTGGTAGACTGGAATAATCACCTTCTGCCTCTCTTTCTTTTTGCTAACATAAGACTTGTTGCATCAAGACATATTCATCACAATGTTTTTCATATAAATATGGAGCAACACAAAATCTGCTCCTCTAAAATTAAACCTGAGATATTACACAGTAGGGGGATGTAAACCAGATACACTGATCCTGTAAGTTATATATACGGACAAAAAATTTTAAAATGAAAGAAAAAACCACAATGGTCACGCGGAAATGACTTGAATCTGACGCTGCTTTTCAACCATGCTTTAACTGAATGATTTTAGAATTAAACTCATTAAAAAGGCCTAGACAAAAAAGATGGAGCCTCTAGAAAAGGCTGAAAATAATGTCAACAAATGGACATGGTACATCAATGGACATTCCTTAAAATGTGTACTTCCCCTTTGCCTGTGCGTGCCATTAGCTCTCGCCCCGCTTGCATTAATGAGCAGTGCCATTTTGTAATTCAACACTAGGGAGCCTAAACCTCCACCGTAAATTTCATAAAATGATTGCTTAACTATGCATTGTCAAACTTCATAACTTCTTGTCAACATGTAGTTTGTCAAGGTCCAGTCTAGCTTTTTTAAGTTTTAGGCCCACTGACTGATTACACAATTGGACACACCTTGATTCAACATGTCCCTTTGATCAAATTATTTTCAGTATTTCCAATAATACCATCATTTTGATTCACGCCTGTTTCATGAGTTTCAAGACTTTCTGTTAAGGCATGGTTAAGAAGAAATGTTTGCCTATCATTTGTTCATTTTCCTAGAATTTTTTATTATTATTTTTAAATATTATTATTAGATTTAAGTGATTTCTGTGACCATTGTAGGTTTTTCTTTTATTAAATGAGGGAGACCAATAATTTTGTCTACATCGTATTTTACCAGCCATATGTTGAATTGGAAATGAAATTCTTAACTCAAGCTTAACTTAATAAACCTGCTGGCATTGGTTGTAATGTTTGTAGAATGTGGTTATTTTGTTATTAATTACTTTCACACAGCTAATTTCTCTCTCCAATTCCACTCTCAGCTCCATTATAATACAATGTTAAAAGAAGATAATTAGGGATATAATACAATTCACAACTGTAAAGGAGAAAAAGGAAACACATTAGAACTTCTGTAGTGAATTTTAATGCCTCGGTAGAAAAAGCATTCAGATAATAGAGTACAGTCACAAGTTGCCTCGAAAGTGTCGAAGAATTAAGAATATCAGCTATTATAATGGTTAATAAGACTAAATATCATACTTGTGTTTAACAGGACAACAAATATTCAAGTGCTCTCACATCAATTTGCAAAATGGCAAATTTATTATTTTTGCAGCAAAAGACGACAAAGACGACAAAGAAGAAAGCAATTGTTTTTTTTTATATAACAGCACAAAAAACGGCAAACACTAATACATTCATTTTACAGTAGGAAAATTGAAATAAGCAACTAAGCATACTAATCTTTAAATTAACATATTTATAGACCTGGCAAATACTCATGTTTTTTGAGTTGCCAACTCTGCCCTTGTTTATTGTTTTTCTACATATCAATGACGCCAGTTCCTAAAAGCTAAAATAAATCCGAGGGGAAGCAAAGCAGATGCCAGTGCAGCCGAGTCAGGCCATGCTTATGAAAATAGATTTATTTGGAGACAGATGTTCGGTAAGAACCCAGCTTTGATTCTTTAGAAATGTCTGTCATCTTTTCAGCCAAGATATTGCTAAAAATGAGATTCAAAGTAAAATTATTATCTTCTACTGCATCCAAGCAATGCCGTCATGCTCTAACTCTACAAATTGTGTTTTTAGGACTGTGTGCAGTATTAGTTTCCATCATAAGTTGTATTTTGTATCTAGGCTAAATGGTTTGATTTGGCCTGCATCTGCCAAGGCTCAGAAAATAGGACCCAGAATTCAGGCAGACTGCTCAGGATTGCGCTGCTCGTCAGCTGGGATCGGCTTGCTGGATTCTTTGGTTCTTAGTTGTGTCCGTGTCCAGAGGACAGAGTGGTCGGATGATTTCTCCACAGCATGAGGCGGAAGCCGCCCAGAGAGTTCCAGGAATCAGGCAGAGCAGACTGACAAGCAGAAGCCAGCAGACGCAGAAGAGCAGAAGGTTCAGAGGTGGAATCCAAAGCAGGTGACAGGGCAGGTGTCCAGATCAGAAAGATGCAAAGGCGCCAAAGGGATATCCAAGCCAGGGTCAGGGGACAGTTTCAAGGTCGCTATCAGGCAGAGTCCAAACAGCAGTCCGAGCACAGGAACAAGCAAAAAATGACCAGAAAAGGGGCGGGCAAATCTCAGGAATCCAGAGGCAGAAAAAGGTCAGGATCAGGCAGTCAAAACACAACAGGGTACACTAGATACTTCTCACACTCTGCTTGAATAATCTGGCATGGATGGGAACAGGCAGCATAAATTGGAGCTGGAATAGGTGGATCAGATGAGGGCAAGTGAAACCTGGGTGGAAGAAATGAACTATTAATCCAGTCATCAGTGCCAATATCATGACAGCATCTAACCACAACTGTCAATTGTGACTTCCTCTGGTTTTCTTTTTGGCTTATATCTTAATAATTTTTTTCATGAAGCTTATAGCTAACTTTGTTCACAAAATAACCAATAAGAGAGCTGGTTATTTCTGAGGGGCAACTGAGATTGGTTTAACTGGTTTTCAGTGTGCTCAGGGACCAGAAGGGTCCAAGAATAGGTAAATGGAGAGGGTTTATTAAAACGAAAATGCAAATAAAAAGGAGATAAAAAGGAAATGGAATAAGGAATTACCTTTTTAAATGTGTGACTAAGAAAGGTGTTAATAATCAGATTTTTGAATTTTGGTTTTTAAATCTTGATTTAGAAGTTGGATTTGAATATACATTTTTAATGTCAGCATTTAAAGTCTTAGGGAAGTCATATAAATAGACTCTTTATCAGACAATATTGTCCCAAAAGTTAGAACATTTCTATTTGAAAAAAAAAATCATGTCTTAAAATCTGTGTTTTTTCTACGTAATCTTATGCAGGCCAGTTAAATATACTTCAAGTTGTACACCTAAATACGACCAATCACATCGACCATCATCAACGGTTGCAGCTAATATATGCAACGCTTGAAATAAGAATAATTTACTTCACCGTTGAGTTACGTGCCAGTGTTCACAGGGATGGACGTCTGTGTCTTCGACAGGCGTAGAGCTAACAGAACTGCCAGTGTTTTGAGGCAAGGGCTCAAACATGTACGGTTATAAGCTTTCTACACCAAACCAAGCTTCTGCTTCCCTGGCATCCTCTTCCACAACAAGTTCTTCCCCACTTTCCTCCTCTAAATAAAAAACGTAAGACGGAGGAGACTCATTCATGACCTCCGAGACAAAACTCTCTTCCTCTTGCATGTTTCCGCTGTCCATAGCGTTCCTTGACAGTGTGCTACTTGGTCCCAATGTAATTTTCCATTGGGAACCAACTAGCACTAAGTTGCTAACTGCTTAGCAAAATGCTTCCGACAAACCGGCCGCAAATGACGAATCTTCCACCATAACAATCCCGCCCCCTTGATAAGCGACCAATCAAATTCACTTTATTCACTCGTATAAAGTCGAGCACCACTCGGGAGAATTCAGAAATGCAACAGTTGGAACAGCCGCTTCCCTATGACTTTAATAATGGAATAATAAATACAATTTACAATTGCTCTTCAAATTCAATTTCAATTGGGCAATTTGAAAAATGCTTTTCAAATTGGATTTTAAATTGCATGATTTAAATGTTGCATTTGAAATGGCTTTTTTTCTTTTTCAATGACTCTCTGGGTCCTGCATAACAATTATCCTCCTGACAGGTCCTTTGATCCAAACTGTTAAATTTCTATAGTTCATCCAGAGCTACCATCTGTCTATTGGCAGTTTCTCTCACAAATAATATTGTTACGTACTGTAAACTCGGTCAATTTAGATATTCTGCAATTCCCTATTAGCTGTACAGACCTGCATTATTTACCTGACTGGATGATAGCCTAAACAGAGCTTTTTGTGATAACCAAAGTTTTGGATATTGTTTTATAGCCCAACCCTGTTTTAAACTTCTGCAACACATTCCCTCTGACCTTCCTGTGCTGTGGTCTTCACTCTTTGTGATATTGTTTGCTTACAAATCTCTGAGTTCTTACCAGAACATCTACATTTATACAGGGAGAACATGTTAGTGGATTCTATCTACTAATTAGTTGATTTATGAAAACAAATGCTTACTCTGGATTTGAAGTCCTAAATGCAACTGAACACATTTTTCAGGTTTTAGAGTATACAATTATTCATTTATGTCACATTTGGAGTTTGTCCCTAAACTATGCTTACCCGTGGCAAATTAAGGTTTAAAATATCCCTCTATATTTGATGGTTCTTCTGGTTAGAGTAATAATAAAGTTTAGGAGACACCCAGCCAGAGTCCTGACCTGAAACTGACAGAGAATATGTGTGATGATCTAAACATTTGGATGATGGCAAGAAAGCCTTCTTACCTCAGTCCTTGAGCTCATCATCGAACATAAATCCTTAAAATATCAGAAGAGAGATGGCACCTATGTTGGTGACCTATTTTTTTTTTATTTGAAATTTTATTTTACCATTAGAATTATTATCATTTTTTAAAATGCATCATTGTTTTTCTTATTGGACATAAAGTTATTTTTGTAATTATAAAAAAATCTCTCTCCACAGTGCACTTAGTGTTGGGGGTGTCACTTTAAAAAGTAACTAGTTAGTTACTAGTAACTTTTCCAAAAAAGTAATTGAGCTGGTAAAGATTTAGAATTTGGACAACTGGAAGTTCAATCTGAAATATAATGAGTCAGACCATAATAAAATATTTCATTAAAAAGACTACACATCTGAGAACACTGTATACTAATCTGCTCTATTTTAGTGTATGTACTGTGACAAATTACCGGGAATATATTTATGTAGTTAGAACATGTTTTTTTTTTTTACTCATAATAAAATAAAATTATTTTTGCATGTTGAGAGGCTTAAATTGGTTATGAAATAGGCATGAATCTGAAAAATAATCCTTATAAAGCCATTTTACAAAAATAAATGCATCTTGCAAAAATAGTAAATAGTGGTTAGATTCCTCCAGAAGAAAAGTTAATAACATATAAAGTAAAAAGCAACATGGTGGCAGTCAGCTGTTAGTCAGCATTATACGATGTGAGGAGCTTCTTTGGATTGGAACTGCTTCTCACTGACAGACATAAAATCTTTGTTCCTACATATAATGAACAAACCACAGAAACATTTAGCATTTGACATGAGCAAGCACTTCAGAATACTATAGTAGAATCAGTGCCAGTTAGCCATCATCTCTCCACTCAGTCCGTATTTAAGCCATGCTCAATAACTGCACATATTGAAGCTCCTCAGCCAATCAGCGTCACCTATGCCCATATCTCAGCTTCCCTCAACCAATCGATGGTCCTGAATGTCTATTTCTGGCTGGCTAGCTCAAGTGGTTAACAAGGAATTTTGGGTTCTTGTCCCAGCTGGAGGGAATGTGCTGCCAGTGTGGGTCATTCGGCAAGAGCCTTCACGGGGAGTGGCCTAGTGGTTAGGGCATTGCACTTCTAATCTAGAGGTTCTGACTTCAAGCCCAACTCCCAAGGAATACCACTCTGGGTCCCTGAGCAAGACCCTTAACCCCACACAATGGCAGCCCACTGCTCCTCAATGGAATGGGTTAAATGCAGAGAGTTCATTTCGTTGCTCTGTACTTGTGACAGTGTAATGACAATAAAACGCTGGAAAAAAAGGAAAAAAATCTCATCTCCCTGCTGCTGCAGTAAAAAATCTCTCCCTGCAGCAGAAAATTTGCTTTCATTGATTGATTTTAAGTAAATGTGTTACCACTATTGTATGTCAAAAGTAATTAGTTAGATACTTTTTCAGTAAAAACTACTGCAGTTTCTTTGACACCCTCAGTCTGTAACATTTTTATTCTCAACACTGCTCGGGACTCATACTAATGCTTGAAAAAGCAAATCTTTAAACAAAATCAACTAATAGTGGGAATAAAAATGATTCAAACTATATCAACAGCCAACATATTTAGTTTTGTCTAATTCTAAGTGATGGTATAAGTGCCTTCAAACACTAGTTATTACACAATATGCATCACAATTATTAGTGTTGTTTTTATTTGGATAGGTGCCCAGAACCCCATATGTTTTGATGCATGACTGCAAGTGAGATCCCAAATTTGACTCAGTGCCCATATCTATGCCCTCTTATATGTTTATGGGGGGATAAAAAAAAAAAAGAAAATTAAATCTTAATCCTCCAGAGGTAAATTCAATTCCATCATACAGAAAAGGATTAGGGCCACTGAAAAAATAAAAAAGTTAACTGATTTTTAAATTTTATTTCAGTTTCATAAGGGAAAAAGTCAGAATTCTGAGATTAAAGTCATACATTCTGAGAAAAAAAGTCTGACTTCTGAGATTAAAGTCAGAATTCTGAGATTAAATTCGGAATTCTAAGAAAAAAGTCTCAGAATTCTGTTGAAAAAAGTCAAGAATTATGAGATTAAAGTCAAAATTCTGAGTTTCAAGTAGGAATTCTGAGAAAAAAAATTAGAATTCTGAGATTTAAGACAGTATTCTGAGATTAAAATTAGTATTCTGAGATTAAAGTCAGAATTCTCAGATTAAAGACAAAGTTCTGAGAAAAAAGTCAGAATTCTGAGATTAAAGTCAAAATTATAAGAAAAAAGTCAGAATTCTGAGATTAAAGACAGAATTCTGAGAAATAAAAAGTCAGAAATCTGAGAAAAAAGTAAGAATTCTGAGATTAAAGACAGAATTCTGAGAAATAAAAAGTCAGAATTATGAGAAAAAAGTAAGAATTCTGAGATTAGAGTCAGAATTCAGACTTTTCCCCCATTGTATACTGAAATAAACTTTAAAAATCAGTAAAAAAAAATGTTTCCAGTGGTCCTATTCCTCTTCATTCTTTGATAGGGTTTCCCTTTTCTTTTAAAGTAGATATGCTAAACAAACAACCAAAAAACAAAGAAACAAAAAATATTTTATGAAATTGACAAAAAAACAAACAACAACAACAAAAAAACGTATACATATTTGTAAATCATGTTTACCAGATAACCTAAAAGCAGCAACAGACAGCATGCTGTGGGTGTTCTCTGTGATTGTCTCCTTCTGTCAGCTGATCACATCCCGCCAGCAGAGCGCGTCCCTGCGCCTTGGACAGAGGCTGGGGGATGCCTTCCAGCTCAGCACAAACCCACTCCCCGTCCACCGTCAAAGTGTGACAGCGAATAAGCCCTTTTTTTTCTTTATTGGGAAAAGAAGCCCAGTGCCAGTAACCCCATGCTCTGCGAGCTTTCTCCGCCGCCTACAGCAGTCACAGGACTCTCTCAGGATGCTGTCTAGCAGCCCACTCATCGCGCACAAAGTGATTTTTCTCTGCTTCCGTAAGTACTTTACTTTCTAATCCTTGTACGGCGGGGTCCGCAGGAGCTGTGAGAGGAGTGCCCACGGCCCAAACATTAAACAGTTTGTGCTGTTGTGTGATTAAAGGCAAAGCTTTGCGTTTTGACAGAACAGAAGACAAACAGCGGAACGAGAGCCGAGCGTATTTCTCCAAGTGTTGGAGAAGTGCGGAGCCATGATCCGCCTCAACTTCCTGAAGAGTTTGGCTCCTCAGCGACCATGCGGGTCTCAGGCTGCTCCTCTAAGTTTATTCTGGAGTCAATTACAGGGGAGAGGTTGAAAGCTCTGTCACTTTAAATGACGGGCTTTGATTTGGAAAGTGTCCGTCTCTCTGCTCTGCTTGTTCCTCACTCGATCGACGCTCCGCCTGCAGGACTTGATCAACCCACCTCCGGTGGTTTGTCCCCCGCAGTCTTCAAGTGGTTTCTAATTTATCACTTTAGATCTGAGCTGTTAATTTGCGTCGTGCATCTGCACTAAAGTGTTATTTCTCCACTTTAAGTATGTGCAGGCTGGACCCTGCGATCCAGAGGAAGCATTCTGCTTAATATACTTATTTTTTTGGTTAAACCCATGAATGGGAATGCTGTTAAAAGGTTAATTTGTTTAGTAATTCAATTCAGTAAGGAAAACTTATATTTATATTCATATCATACATTCATTTAAGCTTTTTAGTTAAAATTATGACTTAATATCTATGAGAAATAATAATTAAATTTCTTCAGTATCACATAAGAATGATATGCCATGCTGTAACCAGTCATGGGGATGACTTTATAGTCCTGCAGCTTTCTGTTTAAACTGTTATTATATTTGCATGCATGTTAATAAAAAGTTGAGTGGAAGGACAAAATAATTGTTCAAAGAGATGCATAAATATCAGAGATTACCACAGTTGTAAGGGCATCCTAAAGCAAAATCCAAAGCAAAGGTTTGATATTCACATAGCCAGTCACATAGCATCTCACTGAGGATTTAAGAACCCAATGTCATCTACTGAAGTTCAGCCACTTGGGTTTATATATTAAAAACTACATAAGTTGATTAGGGAAGCTAAAGTACCTTTTCAAACTTCCAAAGGCTCCAAGTTTACTGATCATGTTAAAACTATGACAAATGTTATCACTATGACAAATAAATAATAAAGGTGGGCATACAGTGTATGATATTTTTAATCATTGTACTTGGCTACAGTTCAAACTGTACAATGAAACCGCAGGGTTTGAAAGTTCACACCTTACAATGTATATTCTTGCACAAAAACCCCACCTCAGACTCAGTGCCGAGAGATAGTGCTTGTCAGACTCATCAATCTGGAAGAATAAAGGGCGGATTATACTTCTGCAACTGCATACATCAAATGTCGCTTGCGTCGCGAACCAGTTTTGCTGGTATGCTTCTGCAACGTCGNAATTCTGAGTTTCAAGTAAGAATTCTGCGAAAAAAAATTAGAATTCTGAGATTTAAAACAGTATTCTGAGATTAAAGTCAGTATTCTGAGATTAAAGTCAGAATTCTCAGATTAAAGACAGAGTTCTGAGAAAAAAGTCAGAATTCTGAGATTAAAGTCAAAATTATGAGAAAAAATTCAGAATTCTGAGATTAAAGACAGAATTCTGAGAAATAAAAAGTCAGAATTATGAGAAGAAAGTAATAATTCTGAGATTAGAGTCAGAATTCAGACTTTTCCCCCATTGTATACTGAAATAAACTTTAAAAATCAGTTAAAATTTTTTTTCCAGTGGTCCTATTCCTCTTCATTCTTTGATAGGGTTTCCCTTTTCTTTTAAAGTAGATATGCTAAACAAACAACCAAAAAACAAAGAAACAAAAAATATTTTATGAAATTGACAAAAAAACAAACAACAACAACAAAAAAACGTATACATATTTGTAAATCATGTTTACCAGATAACCTAAAAGCAGCAACAGACAGCATGCTGTGGGTGTTCTCTGTGATTGTCTCCTTCTGTCAGCTGATCACATCCCGCCAGCAGAGCGCGTCCCTGCGCCTTGGACAGAGGCTGGGGGATGCCTTCCAGCTCAGCACAAACCCACTCCCCGTCCACCGTCAAAGTGTGACAGCGAATAAGCCCTTTTTTTTCTTTATTGGGAAAAGAAGCCCAGTGCCAGTAACCCCATGCTCTGCGAGCTTTCTCCGCCGCCTACAGCAGTCACAGGACTCTCTCAGGATGCTGTCTAGCAGCCCACTCATCGCGCACAAAGTGATTTTTCTCTGCTTCCGTAAGTACTTTACTTTCTAATCCTTGTACGGCGGGGTCCGCAGGAGCTGTGAGAGGAGTGCCCACGGCCCAAACATTAAACAGTTTGTGCTGTTGTGTGATTAAAGGCAAAGCTTTGCGTTTTGACAGAACAGAAGACAAACAGCGGAACGAGAGCCGAGCGTATTTCTCCAAGTGTTGGAGAAGTGCGGAGCCATGATCCGCCTCAACTTCCTGAAGAGTTTGGCTCCTCAGCGACCATGCGGGTCTCAGGCTGCTCCTCTAAGTTTATTCTGGAGTCAATTACAGGGGAGAGGTTGAAAGCTCTGTCACTTTAAATGACGGGCTTTGATTTGGAAAGTGTCCGTCTCTCTGCTCTGCTTGTTCCTCACTCGATCGACGCTCCGCCTGCAGGACTTGATCAACCCACCTCCGGTGGTTTGTCCCCCGCAGTCTTCAAGTGGTTTCTAATTTATCACTTTAGATCTGAGCTGTTAATTTGCGTCGTGCATCTGCACTAAAGTGTTATTTCTCCACTTTAAGTATGTGCAGGCTGGACCCTGCGATCCAGAGGAAGCATTCTGCTTAATTTACTCATTTTTTTTGGTTAAACCCATGAATGGGAATGCTGTTAAAAGGTTAATTTGTTTAGTAATTCAATTCAGTAAGGAAAACTTATATTTATATTCATATCATACATTCATTTAAGCTTTTTAGTTAAAATTATGACTTAATATCTATGAGAAATAATAATTAAATTTCTTCAGTATCACATAAGAATGATATGCCATGCTGTAACCAGTCATGGGGATGACTTTATAGTCCTGCAGCTTTCTGTTTAAACTGTTATTATATTTGCATGCATGTTAATAAAAAGTTGAGTGGAAGGACAAAATAATTGTTCAAAGAGATGCATAAATATCAGAGATTACCACAGTTGTAAGGGCATCCTAAAGCAAAATCCAAAGCAAAGGTTTGATATTCACATAGCCAGTCACATAGCATCTCACTGAGGATTTAAGAACCCAATGTCATCTACTGAAGTTCAGCCACTTGGGTTTATATATTAAAAACTACATAAGTTGATTAGGGAAGCTAAAGTACCTTTTCAAACTTCCAAAGGCTCCAAGTTTACTGATCATGTTAAAACTATGACAAATGTTATCACTATGACAAATAAATAATAAAGGTGGGCATACAGTGTATGATATTTTTAATCATTGTAGTTGGCTACAGTTCAAACTGTACAATGAAACCGCAGGGTTTGAAAGTTCACACCTTACAATGTATATTCTTGCACAAAAACCCCACCTCAGACTCAGTGCCGAGAGATAGTGCTTGTCAGACTCATCAATCTGGAAGAATAAAGGGCGGATTATACTTCTGCAACTGCATACATCAAATGTCGCTTGCGTCGCGAACCAGTTTTGCTGGTATGCTTCTGCAACGTCGCTCTGGAATTTCTAGGGACACACAGCAGTTTCCTGCCGAAGCGCTAGGGGAAGCCTATTCGAGAACTCGTGAGAACTTCTGCGGCTGGGAGTGTTTATTTTCCAAAACAACATGTCTGAGGCATCATACAAGTGGTTGTACTTCTGAACCTCCTCGATCAACCTTTCATCGTGGTTATCCATTGTTGTTATTACTCCTCGGTTTCTAAAAATGGCGTGCCCCGGCACTGAATCGAGAAGGACGACCACACAGACAACCGGAAAGGCATTCTAATAAAGGCACCTCCGCTTGAGGTCTACGTGGGTTTGTGACCGTCCGACATGTAGCCAGGATTTTTTTAAGGTGTGCGACGAGGGTTGCAGAACCTCTGCAGGGGGCCGTGGACAGATTTGACGGCTGCTGAGGCTTTAGGTCAGAATTATAAATTGGCCTTTAGAAGAATTCCCTTGTTTGCACATGCACAACTTGCTTGTAGCTCTGCTTCAACAGCAGGATTTGGCCATGAACACCTCACGAGGAGCGACTGAATTTGAGACATGTTTGATTTTCTCCCCACCTTATGATTCCTGATCAGGAGGTGGTCGTAAGAAGCTTATCACCCCTCATTACCCCCTGTATACTAAACGACGCAGGATGCACAATGAGGCTGAAACTCGGCTCGCATGACTGGAGAATCGGATCTGATTCACTTTCCAAGCTGTAGAGCTAACCTCAATGTTATTTGATGTGTATATATAAGCAACATTATATTCTCAAACATAATATACGCTTCAGTATTTTTCATGCTCTATATTATATTGGACACAGAATATAGTTGATAATGAGTCCAGTCAATCAAATCAGATGATATTTTTTTTACAAAATGGGTGGCTGCAGTTGTAATGTGGTTTGCACTGAGTAACTAGAGCATTGTGTGGAGATCCATTAGAGTAGCAGGGGAGGGCAGGATATGATTGAGCCAGGCTTGCTGAGGGAAAAAGTGTTATAAAAAAAAGTGGAGACCAATGGCTGCTGATGGTGGTTGGGGATTATTAGAAGAATATGTAATACTTTATGGAGGTTTACAGGGTTTTGCATTGAGAGGTTTCTTGAGGCGTTTTTATGTAGCCTCTTGCCACATCCATGATTGTTCAAAGTTAACTAGCAGTTTGAGAGATGTTGATGGACACCTGAAAAGGGTGAGAATTTTTACTGACAAATTATAAAGTTCTATAACATTTAAAAATTAGATACAGTATATATTTTATGTTTATAATGTTTTTTTTTATTTTGGTTTCATAGTAGATTATAGGTCCTGCATTCAGCAACCATTCTTACCTCTAAATTCTTCTGGGATCATTCAAATTTTTATTTTCTAATACTAGTTGCAAAGCCCAGTCCACTGACTAAAAATACAAGCTGCATAACATCACCGCAGAAGAATCCACATTAGTGGATTATTTTATATTGTAGATACCTATAAACTGACATATCCAATTTATTTGCACCTTCAACACCAAGTCAATTTCCTGTGCAAACCTACTTGGCAATAAACTTGATTCTGGTTCTGATTCTAGTGTGTGAGCAGCTATCGTTTTGGGCTGCAGTATTCGAAAGTTTTGCTAAAAGTTAAAGAAATGATCAGCTGGCTACCTGGAGCATTGTTGATGGCACTATATTTTGCAAAGCACAGTGCATGGCTGATATAATTAAACATAACCTAACTCAGAATGAGAGCTTTGTTTTTGACTTGGTGCACTGATATTGTGCTAAGGTAGGTTTTTGTGGGGGAATTTGTTCCTCCTCTTAATTTGTAACGCAGCTTCAGCAGGGAGAGCAGCGCCTCTTTTATACTTTTTTTTTTCTTTTAATTTACATCTTAACAGATACCCACTTCATTTCATAGGTTTTTTGGATACAATGAAAAACAATTTAAGGTAGATCTGCCGAACGTAAAAATAATTGTATGCGTAACATCATCTGTTATTTATTTTAATCAATTTGGGATGTCATATGATGAAGTACGAAATTGCATGAAGTGAAATAATTCCTTTAATAATAATGTAATAATTCCTTTTCGCTCCGCTCTCTCTTCGCCACATCAGACAGGTGGAGTGCTCTCATTACAGCAGAAGCTGCACAACTAAACAGGACCCTAAACTACTTTAATTGAAGCAAAAACTTCCTTATGTGCTGGAGCCGACGAGCCATTCTCTTCCTGTTTAGAACCATAGACTTGGAGGTGCAATCTAGAAGTATTTAAAAGAAAACAAGAAACCATTCACTGCGCTTTGTGGATTAACATTGTTCCTTTAATTTTGACTGAATGGTGTGATTGAAGCTCACGATGTAGGAGTTCGCCCTGTAAGAAGACGGATGCAGGCGCAAAATGTGTGGCAGCCTCGCTTCTGTCGGTGTGCCCCAGGGCAGCTGTGGATTCAGCTTAGTTTACAACCATCAACAAGTGATTGAGTGAATGACTGAATATAGTATAAAGCCCTTTGGGGTCCTCAGACTTGATAAAGCGCTTTATGAAGACAGGCCATTTACCAAATTTAACGTTGCAAAAATATGATCAGTTTAAAAAAAATCCTGTATATTTAATACATGTATGATCATATCTCTCTTAGGTAGAGACTATTTGAATGTGATTTTGTCACAATTTCATTCCTTCTTTTCTTACCTTATACCTAAAACTATTTTGAAAAAAAATGTTGATCCACTTGAAAATATCTTAAAGTGCTGCCATCATGTCAGGAAATCCTGACCAGTAATTATGACCTCCATGTGTGGATAAATTATGGCTCTCCCTGCTAACTTTAATGATGCAATAGGTCACCAATAGTACAAAGAATGCATCAGTTCAAACTTTTACTTAAGCTGGGATTAAAAATGAAATGCACTGTTATCACCATGTGCAGTTGTGTAATAATCCCTCAGTCATGTATGTAAACAAACAGGAGCTGTGTTTACACACTTGGCAGTGAGTCAAGAATCTTTAGCTGGACATCACGCTCTGACAAGTCTGGGACGACTTGCTCAGAATATAACATTCATGGACCCGACCATCAGAGCTCTCCTGAGGTGTGGGGAGTGAGTGCTTTGGTGACACAAGGGTGCCACGTCTGCTGCTTTTCAATTATGTTGTCCAAGAAGTTTCCTCCCACTGTCATTTCTGATGTGCACTGGAGCGGTTTGCAGCCGAGTGTGTTTCGGTCTTGATGGGGAGCAGCACCTCCCAGTCCGAGGCCACAGCACTCTGCTTCTCTTTGCACACAGCACATTTCAATTGTGGTTGCCGGGGTGGCTCTACAGAGGATGCATATGTGTGTTTGCTCTGAAAAGCAATCAGAAAGTAAACAGAGTGTAAATCCAACCTGTAAAATATATTTTTGTTCCAAAAGATTACGGTTACAATTTCCTAAATGGTCTGTTGATGGTTGGTGGATAAATGGATAACGAGAAATATTAATTGCAGCGGATTTATTTGTTTATGTTTCCTGCCAGATGCTATTTACATTTCAAACATCTCCAACTCTGTTGCTGTTTCAGCCTCCCTGTTTGAGTTGTAAATCACTATTTTCCTTTGAA